AACCAAAAAACTCAGCCTGCATTATTATTTTTTCAACTAGATGAGCAGACATGCCAAACTAAGGCCTTGTTTCTAAGAGAAAAGCTCTTATGGTTTATATGCAGTGATTTCAAAACCAGATACTTAAATGGTGCAAAAACCTTCCTGTAGAGGTATCTGAATTAGTTGAAGCATTTCTTACACTTCAGCTTAACTGCATAGGATGCCAATGCAAACTTGATCCTGGCAATCACATAACAGGTGCAGCTACAAAGTGATTTAGCTAGACTGATTTTAACGTAGGACAGCTTCCCTGGTAGAGACATGGCCTTGGTAACAAAGTAGTGTTTAAACCAGTGTTTTGATCTACTTCCAGAATCTGACAGGTCTGGAGATTTAAATACAGAGTGATGGGTAAAACATACGTTGCAAAACATAAAGATCAGCCCTTCAGCCATCAGGCCTTCCAGGGACTACATGTTAGCTTTTCATTTCCCCGAGAGCCCAACAATAAAGGCTAAAATTCCCATGTTTCTGTCCATTCTAGTTCCCTTTAGTGTGTACATGCGAAGCCCTCATCCCTCTCCCTTCCCACCTCCCCTCCCAATCCCCAAATTTGCAGCCTACTCATTCACAGTACACAGCAACATGTATTTCCCAGCACTGTTGAAAACTTTCCTACAGAAGCTGACATGATACCTAAAATGCAGTGGCAACAGCAAGTGCCCTCCTTAAATGAAAGCAATAGGCACAGTTGGCTACTACAAACTGTAAGTCAGTAGCTCAGTTTGCTCTTCTGTGTAGATATATACAGTATACTGTTGTACATCCAGACCCACACAGAGACAGGGTGGAGAACCTGTTTTCTGGCAGTATATAGAAGTTAGGACCAAAGCACTTTAAAAAAAGGTCATCAAAGCTTTCATTTTGAAAATCGTAGATTCCAACTTCAATTATTACACCAAAAATGCCATCAACAAGCATTAAGGAAAACTATAAAACCCTGTTTCTAAAATGACGCCTGCATTTGAAAGTTTTCAGGTAGGGAAACTCATTCTTGAGGTGATAAAGGCAGTCTACTCCCCATCTCAACATTTCTAGGTATATAATTTATATATACAACTGTATCATTATATATATAACTTATATAGCACAAGTATTCTCAAGACTTCTTCCTCTAAGGGAGGAGGAAATTCTCAGCTTTACAACACAGATCTTAGTACCTGGTAGGCCAGATCCTACAGTCCTTACAATGCTAAATCTTGCCACTGAAGCCTGTGCAGAGCTGTGGAAGAGAAAGACTGCAGTAGTCATCCCTCAACAATTAATAAAAAGAGACACAAGTGTGAGAAAAGGAAGAAAAGTATCCAAGCTTGATCTGGAAAAGATCATTCATGAAGGTGTAGTTTAAAAGCTAATGAAAGACAGGAAAGACTTGCCAATGTTGTAGTATCTTGTGAGAAAAATATTTCTGTCTTTTCAAGACAAAGTTAAATAGTTATTGTCAAGCATTGTTTTGTTTTTTATTTTTTTCTTGGTATGTAGATATCTTTACAAGTGCAATTCTATCTGAAATCAGCAAAAAGTAGTTTAGAAGTTCTAGGTTAGAGCATCGCCCAGGATATGAAAGCTCAAAAACAATCTTACTGGATGAAATAACAGAATGTGCCAAGTCCTGAATGAAATCAAGAGTAAAAGCCCTTGATCCACTGAGTGCTGGCCTTATAAATTTAAATTATTTACAAAATTTTCCTCTTTTTTTTTCTAATTTAAAGATTTTGACATACATTAAGAGAAGAGGAAGGGAAACACTTTAGGAAGTTGGACTTCATCAGCTTTGCCAAAAGTACCAATTACTACCTCTTTTCTATACAGACAAATAAAGTGTGTTAAATAGGAGGAGCAACCTTTATATTAGATACAAACCCCAAATTGTCTAGGGTCAGATAAAAATGATGGGAAAAGCCTGATTCTGTAGATATCAGAAAGGTCACAGCTGAGATTTACTCAGTCATGCAACAATCATATTGATCAACTCCATTTTAGCTAAACACCCTAGTGATTAGTTAATTTTTTATGCCTGAAGTTAAAACAATTCTGAAAGCAAGGATTGAGGGATCCTCTTTCATTGAGATTCTTCTTCCCATCTGTGTTTGGTGAGTGTTTCTCATGCATTAAGTGAAAATGTGCTACCCCAAGAAAAATAGTAGTTTCAAAAAGTCTGAGGAAAATAAGAATGAATGAAAAAAATGTTCACCTTTGTAGAAATATGTTGGCTTAGATTTCAGGTCCTGGAAACCATTTCTGAGACATCACATGGGTCTTCCAGTCTAGCAAACTTGTTTCCATAATATCTGGCTAGTCCCTGCCGCTGTGACACATATCAAGGTATGATATTGCTTCAAACTGGTTTGCTAAGGGTTTGGGTTCTTTTAAGATTTCTTCCTCTCTAAGTCTCCCTCATGAAGAAACCTTATAAAGTTTAACAAGGATGAAACTCTCAGAATTCAAGAAAAAACCTACAGATCTGCCCTACAGTCTGTTTCATCAGCACAAGACTACGAAGAAATAGAACCAGTACACATTTAATAAGTAAGAGCTGTGAAATGAATCATAGAAACACAGAAAATTAGTACTGGAAGGTTCTTCTGGAGGTCACCTAATCCAACATTCAACCCTTTGTTTAGTGAGATCAGACTGCTCAGGGCCTCATCCAAGATATTGAAAGAATCTAGAATTTCACTTCAGTTGCTAGTTTAGCCAGGTAATACAATTGTCTAGACTGAGTACTAGCTACTGAAAAAGAACTCAGAGATAATGAAAAATACTCTGGATTCTGCCATCCACTTTTAGACCAATCTCTATAAAATATGTCTGATATTTTATGTTGCTCTTTATCTCCTAAGGGGAAAACGAAACAGAATAAAGAGGCATCAAAGTGCTGTTTTAGTGTAAGAAGTGACTAAAATACAGTATAATGTGTCTTCATGTTTGATACGGTACAAATGAAACAATATATCCTTTAGTTCAAAGTGAACCATCAATGATCAAGTCGAGAAAAACCGAATTTTGCTAGCCAGGCCTCAAGCTGGTAGTAGTACAGGATATTTTTATAAGCATATTTTTATGCACAGATTTGGCAAATTTGATTAGAAAACTATTTATAACAGTGCTTCCGAAATTATTTTTTTATTAGTTTTCAAAATAGAATCTTGACTTTAAGTTGCCTCAGATAATGGAAAAATCCAGAAAAAAAAATGTTTTATCAACACTGTCACATACAAAGCACATCTCAACCTGGAATATTCTGTCTCCCCAATCATGAAAATGATTGACATATGGGAGCAAGTCTAGCAGAGATTCATGACAAAGGTAGTGGAACACATGATGGATTAAAAGAGGCTGAGAGACATGATTCAGCCTTAGGAAAAGAAGAGTAAGTGTAGGTCTTATTGCTATTTCCAAATACCTAACCAAGACTGTAGAGAAGAAGCCAGACTCTTCTTGGAGGTGCACGGTGGAAGAGGCCTGAAAACAGGTTTGAACATGAAAAATTCCTACTTGACACACAAATTTTTGGAATTATTTTTTTTTTTACCATGGAAGTGGTTAAATATTGGACCAGCCTTGACAGAGAGGTTGCAGAATTTCCATTTGTGAGGATATTTAAAACTCAGCTGGCTACAGCCATGAGCAACCAGCTCTAGTTGGAGGTTGGCTAAGATGGCCTCTGGAGGCCCCTTTCCACATGCATGATTCTATGATTGACTGTTCTGATCCAAAATATTATTTAGCTAATCACAAAAACTCACATTTATTTTAGTTGCTTCCTCTGTGTACACTATTTTGTGAGACTCTTAGCTCAATCTGTTTTCATCCTATAGTTCCATGACCTTGGAAATCACAATCTGACTTTCTTATAATGGCTTCTCTTTTGCAAATAGGCATAAATCTCATATTGAAGGAAACAAGGTAAAGCTGCTCCTTTCTACAGCTGGATAACTCAGTCCTCAACTGTCACCAAATTTATGGGTTTGCTTTCAAGAAGCTTTACACAGAGCCTTTCCTCTTTAGTTTGATTCTACTCATAATTTACAGAGAGAGAACAACTGTACAACTTTAGCAAGGAGACACAGGCCCAAAAAGGAACTAACTGTAACAGACTACACAAGTTTGAAGTGTACAGCTTAAAATATCCGCAAAGAAACAAACCTTTCATTGTAAAAAAAACAATCCTGGAATGTGTCACTAATTATGCCTTTCCAAAACGGAGGCTTGTTCTATAAAATACCAAAGTTACAGTTCAAAATTTTAGTAATGACTAAGACACTTGCATATGGGCACCCAAAAACGGAAGTCAAGAGATTGACTGGGTACACCATATATACAGCCAAAAAATACCTTGCTTTTCAAACATAAGAGGTGGTTCCAAAGCTCAGATTTGGCTTCAGAGTTCAAGACCTGCTACAAAGCCTGAGAAATTTGAAATCTGCCTTTTACATCATTTTTTCTATGTTTTTTAGGCTATTTGTATCCAGGATTTAGATGTAGGCTTCCTTTTGAACAAAGTAAAGACATATTTCAGCATTTTTTCCCCCTGGGGCCCTTGTTCTGGTATATTTAAATAAGATGCCAACAAGACCACAAATGACAACTGGAACTAAAAGACAGTCTTGCTTGACTCTTTTTAATTTAAATAGGGTCTGGTGTTTAAACCATCACTTAATAATTAAGGTTTGTATACTACTGATAGCACATCTAAAGGCAGGTGTGTTCAGAGGGCAAAGGAGGATATTTTTGCAGGTTCACAGCCAATGAATATTGTAGTGGAGAATTTGAGCGCATAAATTTTAGGACACTACAGTAATGAAATTACAGGATTCTCATACTTTTCTTAATCTAATGCACTCACTGGATGCTCTACAGTTTCACACAGCTGAGGTTTCAGTTCCCATTAGATATCTTCCTGAGGGGCAGCAGAGAGGCAGCACCAATCTCTGCTGTCTGGTGACCAGTGACAGGATCCAAAGGAATGGGATGGAGCTGTGTCAGGGGAGGTTCAGGCTGGACATTAGGAAAAAATTCTTCACCCAGCAGGTGGTCAGACACCAGAGAAAGGCTCCCCAGGGAAGTGGTCACAGCCCCAAGCCAGCCAGAGCTCAAGGAGCATTTGGCCAACACTCTCAGGCACATGGTGGGATTCTTGGGATGTCCTGCGCAGGGCCAGGAGTTGGACTTGATGATCCTTGTGGGTCCCTTACAACTCAGGACACTCTGATTCTGTGATCTGGCAGGATGCTCTATTTGTTTCAACACAAATTAAATTCTAGGGCCCTCAGTCCCAGTGAAACAGCTGGGTGGAATGGCCATAAGAAGTATGCAAATACAGAAGTAGAGAAATACGAGATTGTCAGCAAGCAGTGCTCTGCAATTTTTAAATGTATACATATATATATATATATATAAGTATATATATATACACATATAGAGTATAGTTAGTTTTAAATCTTTGGAATAAATTCAATTTTTTCTTTTCTCTCTCTTTCTTTCTGACTTTCACTCTCTCTCATGCTCTTATCATGAATATTACATCATTGCCCCTAAAAGATGGTTAGATTTTGGTCCATATTTCATACCATATGGGCCAGACATCGTATTTCCCCCCTGTCCCCAAAGTGTTCAGTTGACAGTCACAGTGTTTTGTGAAAACTGTGAGGAAAACCAGCATCTTTTGAATAAATTCAATCTCTCACTGGAACCAAAGGTTGCAAAATGCTGAGAATTCAAGTGCCAAGGATCCCGGTGACAGCTCTTAAAAACATCTATTGAGTTTCTTGTTTGCTCTTTTTTCCCCTTAGAGTACAATTTTACCTCCCAAAACATAAATTAAGGGAAATATTTAACAGTCAATGAGTCAAAACAGTCAAAGAAGGGCAGTTGGCTAATACATTATAAAAGAGCAGCAACCATTTGTGGACCACACGCTATTTTGTTTCATTTCTAGACACATCTTGTAGGGATGGTCCAAGAATATACAAAATATACAACCTAATGACAGCCTGCCTGCTTGCATAGGCCATTTTCATGGTCCTAAATGCAGTCTTTGGAGTCAGGGCCAATGCCAAATAGGTTCAAATACAAGTTATGGCAATACATTTTTTTAGTTTGGTTTTTTTTTTTTTTTCCTTTTGTAATGAAGACTTTAATCCACTTTGAGCCAAAGAAATCAAATTATTATGACGGAAGGGTGAGCATGAGACCTCCACTTCTCCTTGATGATTCACACCGTAGGCCAAAATGGACCTCTAGGTTAGTAATACTTTGGACCAATCATTTGGAAATGCCTCACTGCTGTATGTAAAATCCAATCCCTTCCTTCACCGCTCACATGGTTACATTTTTTCATATAGGAGTGGGCTACAGCATCAACTTCATGAACAGAAAAGCAGGACTTTGATAAACGGGCTAATGCTGAATGAAGCCATTGTACTTGGAAGAGGTTCTTGATTTCCTACTGAGAGATTGGAGTAGGATTTTTGGCTTGGGTTTTTTTTTTGTGTGTAAGATGCTCAACAAACAGGTTTAAATTAAAATGTCTGCAGATGCTCTTTACAGAAACAAAAGGCTAATGTTTTAAATTGGTTAATAGAAGAACTGCAAGAAAAAGCAACATAATTCACCACTAAATCACCGTGGGTTGTGGCTAATATGCTCACATGATGTAGAAGGAATCCTGTAGTCATGCCTGTGTGGCCAGTCCCAGACTGATATCCAGGTGAAGACAAGGAGTTCTGAAGATCACTTGTTTGTGGAGAAAAGAGAAAAAAGGTTTAAGCTTCCAAACAAGCTTTTAAAGTTTTTTGTTCAAAAAATAAACAAGAAGTCCTAGCTATGGCAATAAGGTGAGGCTTACAGAGATATTAGGTGCTGTATCTCAGGGGTTTGTCCCTTGGCTACTTAGCCATGGTGGCAGCAGCTTCCAGAGTCCCTAGTGCATATGTTGTGCAATAGCCAAAAAAAAAAAAAAATTTAAAAAAAAAAAAAACCAACAAAAATATAATCCTCCATGAAGTCTACATAAACTCAGGCCAAAAAGAGGATGTTTGTGTCACAAGTGTCACTCCACAGTCTACTGCCATTAAGGCCACTGGTATTGACTTAAAAGGATCTCAATAGTTCAGTTCTGGGAAGAAGAACCAAAACCAAGACAGGTCAAAGTGTCTGTGAGAAGTCTGATGCACTGAAAATTAGGAATTCTCAGAGAAAGAACAAAAAACCCAAGAGGTTAATTTTGGCTACCAAACTGGGATTTGGTTTTCTAGGTCATTGTTTTCCCCCCATCTATTTAAAAAGAAAGTTAGTGCTACAAATATGCAACTTCAAGAGGACATACTCTTCTACTGAGTTGCACTGAGAAGCAAGTTAGATAAGCCCCTCCTACTGCCATCCACCTGCAGGGAAGCCTCCTCTGTTTTCTTTGATTTCCACTGGTAAAAACAAACAAATCCAAGAAGGATGAAGTACTATAAGTAATTGTTCTTTTTCACTGACTTCACCTCTGTATCATTTCCTCGCCTGCATCTTCTCCCATCCGGCTGGGGCAAGGCATAAAAGAACCGATGTAGGTATTGAAGTGTAACTGGGAGCATGACACTGTGAGCATGTGGTCCCTGTACAGAGGATTACACGGGATCAAGTTCTCTTCTCCTGTAAGGTAGCACGTTGTAACTTGAGTTCCACTTTCATCTCACAACACTTAGCCCAGATGATATCCATGCCAAGCTGACTGATATTTAGATGTGTCTCTTCATGTGGAGGGCGAGGTGATCCGACCTGGAAAAACACCTGCAACATAAAGCAAGCAGGAAATAACTATAGGATTTTGGAAAACAGGGTTTCTGCTCCTTCCTTGTTATGTACAGAAGAAAATACATATCCCAGTTTAGAGAGACATTCCTTGAGCTATCCATGGATCACAACCAAAGCCTGTGTGATCAGCCTCTGTGATCACAGATAAGCAACTACCCTGGCTCTTCAGCAGCTAAAGAGACAACGTTTATCCTTTCCCTGTTCCTCTCCCTCTTGCTTCTTTCACTGAGTCAGACATCAGGGAAGAGTGCTCATCTATACATCTGGACTATAAACCAAAATATTTAGTAAGTGTGTGTTTACATATTAAAAATAAATAAAACAAATCCGTTTTATTCAGCAACACCATTTTTTAAAATACCTGCTTTCTCAAGTGCCCATTCCTTGCAAAAAGCACCAAAGAATGATGCTAGTTTTGAAAGCTAAATTCTTTCTAACTCCAAACTGGAAGGAAATCTGGCTCAGACTTTGGAGGCTGACAATCCATCAGGCTTCATATCTCCCCCTTCCTCTCAGCTGGGAACCTGGGTGGTAATATGTGGATTCTGATTAATATTATCTCCGTGATGGATGTTGACAGAAGATATTATGCCTATTTTGTAAGAGTGACAATTGAAAGACAGAGAAGGCAAAGAAGTTGTAAATCACACAGGTGCGGTAAAACCAAGGGAAAAAAAAGAAAGCCAGGAATTGGGCTTCCAACTTCTGTTCTTTATCCACAAAGCCTTTCCCATCTCATAAGAAATTATATTTATTTTTATTTTCATAAGAAAACATGCTTTTCTGTCATTCTGAACATGTAGCTGGATCCTGATGAGACAGACTCCACACCCATTAGATATGGGATTGAAAGTACCAATCCATTACACCCACCATCAGAGTGTTGTCTAAGGTATGTATGGCACTGGAAAGCAAACCACAGGAGAAGCAGGCAGTGGTTCTGGGTGCCTACCCCACAGCCCTAAAATGGAGCCTGTCACGGTGACAGGACTGAAGACACACTTAGAAATTAAACTTCTACTAGCAACTTCAGTAGCACATTTAAAAACAGTAGGTTTTCAAGTCTCCTGCAAATTCCGGCTTACCTTCTTTCCACCTTAAGCCACAAGATACTGGTTTATTTATTTTAAAAACATTTACTACAAATATCACACCAACCCCCACACACCTGTGGCTTTTGAGTAAACTGGTTCTGTAGGATCCAAAAACACGAGGAAAAGCTACTTACAGAACTGATTTGCCTGGCATGTCTTTTCAGTGCTCCACAGAACTGGAGTATAAAGCAGCCACCAATAATGGTCTGAAGAGTATCCAAATGGCTTATTGTGAGAATCAAGATAGCTCATCTATGGGCGCTGAGTGTATTTTTTAAAAAGCAATAGTTGAGTGTTTTGTAGTTTTCAGAAAGAAGAAGCAGAAGAAAAAACTGAACAACCCCCCTACAAAAGCTAATACTGATAGATAAAAAAAGAACAGTCAATCTAAATACCCAAAGAATAAACACCCTAAGCAAAGAAAGGCTGAGAAGAACTATAAAAATGAAATTATTTTAAATAGTTAGGGGACTTTTTCTGTCCTGCTGAAGTATGCCACTGCACATGTGATTAATCAGCATCTACATGAAGAGATGAGTGATCAAGAGGTACATTTTTAAGACAAGGAAACCTTAATACAAGATATCTTCCACAAGAAAAGTAGTCATTTACTCATCTTTTGTAAATGAGCAACGAGCATAGCTCTGCTCAAGTCATCTCTTCTCTACTTGCAGGGGTTACAAGGGAGTTAATATCTTCTGAATGGCAAAAATGAGACTTCAAAATAGGATGGAGAAGGCATTCCTCCAAGGTCCTACAAGAGGCACAGCAAGACACACGTGAATGTCACAATGGACACTGGGCTTTCAACACAGCAGGCTCTGCACAGCTAGAATTTTCTAGACCTAGAGTGACAAAATACATCCTTGGACCAACGTCTCTCTCATCAGTCTTAAACTGAGAAAGCAGCATGCTCTGGCTACAAGGGCTGCCAAAACAAAACAACAGCTTGAGTGGCTGCCAAAAAGACATGCACCAGCTGGCACTTCAGTCTAGGACTAGTCACAAGACCCCCACCAAAGCGCAGCTTTTCCTTTCCAGTTGTCTCTTTTACAGATGCAACCCAGCAAAGTGCATGCTGAGTCACATCATAGCCAGATCTGTTAAAATTATAGATTCAGTACATTGCTTCACATCAGTAACTACCGTATTAGCACCTATAATATTTTTATAGGTAATAAAATGGTGCCATATTTGCTAGTTTATAGCTAATAAAGTGGTACAATACTAATTCTTCACATTCTCCTGCTACCTAATTCGGTTAGTTCTATCTCTTGGTAAGGCTGGTGGATGTGGATATTTATTTTCAACTGTAAAACAGTCTATATAAAATTTTTGCAGCTAAATCACACTGTCAAAAAGCCTACTGATTACTGGACACACTTCTTTTTTTTTTTTTCTTTCTGGGACTAGAGGCAGCAGCGGAAGAGGCTTCACAGGATAAGCTGTCAAAGGAAACTACTCTTCAAAAATCAAGGAACAGGGGCTTGCTGGTCTCTAGTCCTACCCATGACACGAGACTTCTCTGCACCTCTGGCTTTACACCTCTTTCAGTTCCAGAGCAGCTCTACACATCACACATGGGCCCATCACAGCCTTCTCTGAGGGCTTCTCCCCCGTCAGTCTAGCTCTTCCTAGAAAGAACAGTTTATGCTAGAATAAGACACTCTAATTTTAAAACTCGTACAGGGATGTGTGATACACAAATTCCCTGCTCCCAGACATGATTCCTCCCTTTCTCTTTTTGCTGTATCTCCTTAGCAACACAATACGGCTTGGCACTGATGCCTCTGAAGGAGAAAAAGGGAAGGTAAGTACAATGAGAGAGAATGTATCACTCAGACATCTTTCCTACCAGCTGTGGATTTTCCACTGTGGGATGTGTTCATTCCAGCTAAGTGCACTCTCTGCTTGCTATCAACAAGGAAACCATGAGCACGTGTGCACATACGCAGAGAGGAACATGCATCCCAACAGTCTGGCACTAAGCTGCTGTTTCCTAAACACCTATTTATCTAGAATCAGTAAGTGCCACTACCCTGTCAAACTCTTCCCCTTGAAGTACTGAGGGCTTGCACCGTGTGAGGAACAACCCTAGCTTGTGTTTCTGAAGAGCAAAATTCCTGGGAAATGCTAACAACGAGCATAACCCTGGCATCTGGAAGGCACTAAGGACTTTCCTAGGGTGCTTTCCACCCCACTTTAGCTGATTGTCCTTTCTCTCCTGCTGCCACAAAGCTACACACCATTTGCAGTACATATGATGTTACTCAAAGCAGTGGTAGTTTGCCAGCTATGACTAACAATGTGATCTGTGGGCTGCATGGTGTTGGGACAGGGCTGGGAGAGCAGAAGAGAATCTCATCTTATCTCTTTTGTTATAAAATTTACTTATACACAGCAGACATTAATACTCCTTTGACATTGGTCGGAAGGTGAGAGACACAAACACATCTAAAAACAGTCTTGGAAGGGAAATGCAGCCAGCCTGTGTAAACAACATCCCCTTCTGCTATCTGAATCACCCCTTCCATGCTCTGTTTGCCAAGATACAGCCTTCAGCTCTGAACAACAACAGGCATAGGATTTGTGCAACATCAGTGTTGTTAAAACAGCTCCAATCAGCTCCTTAAAACCTAACAAGCCAGCATGTCTGAGAGAGTGGCCACAGCTTCTGTCAATAATGGTGAGTGCAATAAAGGCTGGCAGTTCAAATACAGAGAAACTGTTCTCCAGCTGGAACCCTGGCTCAGGAAGGCACATCTTTAAAAGTCTGCTTACATGGCTAAAGGCAGTTTTAGGCTCATGTTTCAGTGCTTGCTTGAGGTGACCTCTGCAGTAGGTGGTAGCAAAGAGGCCTGAGAATGAGAAAAGAATGAAAAACAGTAGAGTATAGCAGAGGGAGGCAAAAGAACAGGCACTGTCACTCTGAGAGCTTGCAACAATTAACTGGGGGAATAAGGATAAATCTGCCTCCTATCACCACACACAGATAGTATGGGCATAGAGTTTAACAGTGCACAATCCTCAGCACTCTGAATTTTATTAATAATGTTATTCCTTCATCTACAGATTCAGTAGAAGAGTAGAAAATGCATTAGATGATTACAGGAATATATCTCTTAACTGCAGTGACTGAGTTTGCTGCCAAAGAGAAAAGCTAGGTAGAAAGGGGTAATATGTGGAGGGAGAATAACGAACACTTAACAAAGGGCTGAAAGAGACCAAAGAGTTGAAAATACCGGCTGTATTTCTCTAGATCTCTGCTAAAAATATTGTTTGTCCTGACAGAAACCCTAGGGCATGTGTATGTATGTGTGTGTTTGTGGGGCCACTCGAGGAAAGAAAAGAGAAAGGCAATGATTTACATTTAAAACAGAGAACATAATTGTTCTCATTCACAGAAGTGCTTAAACAAAAGCACAACTGCAGAGGTCCCTACTTGGCTTATCCTGTCCCTCATTCTGAGCAAACAAAAGATGATCCAGGGATAAAACAAAAGATAATCCAAGAGGAAGCCCTCTGTGGGGGAAGGGGGACGGGAAGAGGGGAGACGAGGGCAGAAGAGCACTTAAGGAGATGAAGCTCTTGGAAAGGCAGGATGTGAAAATGATCAAATTTCCTTCCCATAAAAGGATGGGGTCCCTTGTTTATGTCCCACACATCCTCTCTCCACGCATATTCTCTGTTGGTCTGGTGTACCCACAGGCTTCCTAGAGGCTTTATTGTATTACAAAACGTTTCCTTATCACAGTCGAGAACCCTAGTGCTGCATTAAAAAGATGGGTAATTTTCTTAAGCCTCTTTTAAAAAAATATATAAATAGGATTAGCTGGATAACATGTTCAAATGCAAGCACGTTATTTGATTACTCAATAGTGGATCCAGGTTTCACCCAGGGCACTGCCAGTCTTCAGCTGGGGGGGTGAGTGGGGGAGAAGCGCTCATTGTTCGATCCTGTCAGTGCTGTCAAGAGTCATTACAGGGGTAATTGCTTTTGCTCCACCCTGATTTCTTATCAGTAGGGATTGGGGATGTGGAGAAGGGTGTTCTTTTGGTTTTGTTTCTAAATTGAAAGAATCCAGCTTTCAAAAACACTCAGCACCAAGCAAGGATGACCAGATTTTTCAGAGAAGCTCAGTATTTACTGAAGCAGCGAAAGCAGCGAGGGCTGTGCAAGCACACCGCGGTGAGAGCTGCAAGGGCGGCTCTCCCAGGGAGCTGCTGGGTGCTCAGCTCACACCTCATTTCCCCAGGGCACTGCTGTGTGACAGGCTCCTTAGGAACCTCGGCCCTGAGCACCTGCCAGGCTTTCAAGTCTGGGCCCTCACTGAATGAAGGTGCAGAGTTATTTCCCACTTCAAACAGATATCAAGAGTGAGATTTAAAATTGTAGGAAAAGGTTCACTAATTAGCAGGAATGTGCAGAGATCACTGATCCTACTCAATACAATCCCATGAATTTGAATGGTAAAATGTGTCTAAATCACTCTTGGGCTTTGCCCTGTGTTGACTTTTCTTTAGGAGCCCTGGACTCAGTGCTAAGAGGAGACAACGATCATACAGAAATTTAATGTTTTTTTCCCTAGAGGTTTCTTATAGATTTGGGCCACTTGTGGCACAACAGCCACACACTCCCCATTCCTCCTGCCATACAACAATGTTTTTGTGAGGCCCACCCTGCCCTAATGTGGGTAGCCAGCAGTGTTGCTTGGGGCAGTCCTTGAAGCAGAGCAAATAGAGGGTGCTTTGCCTTTGTGAGAACAGCAGGCTTACAGGATCAGAAGACAGAAAGCTAAGGAGATGCTTTGTGGAGAGGTCCATCACTGAAATGGTCTAAGGCCCTCTGAATGTCTTCTCTGCTTTAAGAGCATTAACAAGACCTGTCCTATGAACTGAATCCTGTGCCCACAACAGACACCAGCCGGGTTCAGTCAGGCCTACACTTGGTCCCACATTTTGTTCTGTGCTGTGGGATTAGACTGCTTAGGAAGAATTCCCCATCTGCCAGCCTGCCTGGCCCCTAAGCCAGAGAGGACAGGAGCTGAGCAGAGGGTCCCTCCATGGTACAGGGATCCAGGCACTGGGACAGAAGGGGCCCGCCCCTCTGCTGGGAGACAGGTCTCTTGTCTCTGGGGGCTGGAGGCTCCCTGCCAGTCACCAAAGTCCACAGGTCTCTTGAACACCATGTTAGGAGCTGCATTACCTGTCACAATGGTTGCATTTAAAGGGCTTTGCACCCGTGTGCTTTCTGTAATGCCTCGTGAGCTCGTCGCTGCGTGCAAAACGCCACTCGCACCCTTCCCACGAGCACTTGTAAGGCTTCTCACCTGCAAGGGGAGGAGAGAACAGTCAGCGTGGCAGCAGCATTCCTGAGCACTCAGCTTAAAAGCCCCGTGTCCTCCCACCCTGCCTCTAACCCATTTCAGTCGCTTAGCCCTTCTTACAATTCTTGGTCAGCGTGGGATGCAAATAACCTAGGGCTTGTGATGTATTGTACTGAGGACAGTTCCACTGCAGATTTTACCACAGGTGAAATTCTCACATAACCTTATATCTTGTTTCTAACAAAACCAGGCAACTGGCCTTTGAAGAAGCCTTAAGAATGTCCTCAAATGTCTAAGCAGCTGTGTGGCTGAAGCTTGATTTTCAAACAGCTTTTCAGCTCACTCTAACCTTGCCAGATGTATTACTGCAGTACTTGAGTGACTGTACTAACACCTGAACACTGTACAGGTGTGCACCACTCCTGAGTGACCACCACTACTGCACCTGATTCTGTTTACCCTTTACGTGGCCAGCCTTACATCCGCTCCCCTCAAGCATTCATGCCTGCTGCCCCCAAGGACTGCACCTTTTTTACTTGCTTCTACAAAATCTATTCCTGGGACCAAGATATTACGTGTCAGGTCATCGAGTGTGAGAGGATACACTTCTTTGAATCAGCTGGTCCTTCAGGCTTCTTGCACTATACCTTCATCAGCTGTTATTCTGCCCCAAAATATTAACAGTACCATTGAAGGCAATGAAATGGTGTAGTGGTAAGACAGGACACATTCCAGTCTGCTGGTCGGAGTTGGACTCAATGATTCTTGTGGGTAACTTCCAACTCAGGATATTCCATGATTCTATGCTCACATCTAACTATCTCCTAATGCACATCAGTCTCTGCAGATCAAAGTGTGCCATGGTGTAACATCTGTGGTATCATTAGCACCTTCTGATGAAGAATCCCAAGTCATGAGTCCCATTGCCTTTTCAGTGCATATGTATTGGTGTGCATTCAAATTTAACATCTCCCTCCCACAACAAATGCTCCAGTGCATCTCTTCCAATAGTAACTCTATGTCACTCTTTACCATGCAGTCAGTTGAGATAAAATTCAGACAATAAATCACTTTCACTACCAAGCTTCTAAGTGGCTTATTACTTATTTGTTCTTAAAATTCCTAAGAAGGTAATCTTAAAAAACCCACCACGGGCCACACTAAGGCTACAATTTGCTAGATCCCTCTAGGCCAGTCACATGAAACAATCATTTGAGCACAGCAGACAATGCAGAGACACAGATTGCTGTATTTAGTGTGTCTATTCAGCAAGTAGAAGAGTGAGATCTGGATATGGGAGACCATGATGATGAACTGGAGATGCAAAAAGAGCAACAAAAGTGAAAAGGGAAAGAAAATTGCAGCAAAATGCATGAAAAAATGCTGTTCTCTGGTTTGTGTGTTTTTGCAGACTTCTTGTTGCACAGGCAGCTCTGCTGCACAGTGGTCATCTGCCCCAGACAGAACAGCAGAATGGGCTGAGACCATAAGTGAAGTTGAGCCATTTTTTTGGCCTTTGAGAAGTTTCTTTGGTTCAGGAGTTCAGTTAAAGAATTCACGGGGATGAAGTTGTGAAGAGGGGCAGCAGCTGGCAAGACTACACCAAAATATCCATTTATCCCACAGTCCCTGAAGAAAGGCCAGCCTGGATGTCCCTGCTGTGAGTCACAGTCTCCCATGGAAAAATGCCCAACAGGACAATGGACTGAGCCAACAATAATATTACCCCACTTAGAATGTGCCTGCTTGGTCATCTCTGCAGACTCACCTCTTGTTCCTTTATTCTTTGGATTTCTTCAGGAAAATAAGAAGTTAGAATTTTCTTAGTGAGAAAGGTGCTGTTGTCTTTTTTTCTGGGATGGTTACCCAATTGTACCTCAAACACAGTCAGCAGTGCTGGCCTCTGGAGCTGCAGTTGCCTCAGTTGCAGCCATCTCCCCCCAGCCCTTTGCACCCTACCTGGCACACAGCATCTGCTCTCCTCAGAAAAAAGGAATTTCTCAGGCCTGATCCTGTGCCTGTGATGACGCACCAGTTTGTCTGACCAGTTCATGCTTTATTTTAAAAAGTTGTCAGTAAACAAGCCTCGATGATAATGCAGTTCCTTGGTTCTCTGACGCTCTCTAGTGCCTACCTTAGAGTGGAGACAGCCAGGCAGGGAAACTGCCTTGCAGTACATTTGCCACGCACACTGCAAAGCAAATGCAGAAGACAACTGCTCAGCCAAATCTGGCAGGTGCAGCCAGTCTGAAGGATACAGTCATCTATAGAGCAGAAGGGTGAAGAAAAAGCATCCTGGGCTTTCTGTGAAACTATAGAGGCTACTAGGATTGAAGTGGAGTTTGGTTTGTTAAAATTTGTCAAGAGCTTTGAAAACATACAGTGCTACATATAGGTTACAAGAGACAGAAAAGCCAAGCACCGTTACTGGTGAATGCAAAGAATGACACATATCTCTGTTACTTGCTGCAGGGGCTCCTCTCCCAAGTGTTCCAGCTTTGGCCTTGCACAGCCCTGAGCTGAGTTTTGTTTTTCCTTTGTAACCCAAGCCCTGATCAGCAAAATGTCAGACAGTACCTCTCAGTGCTCCAGACTGCACGCTGCCATACCAGGCTCCCAGTGCACAAGGTAAATGTAAAGAAGCACAGTGACCTTTAAAGCCATGCCAGACGGCTCCTTGACCCAGAGACCTCAAAGACATTAGATTTCCTGCCCTCCTGAAGCTATTAAAAAACACAAGAGGGAAGGAGAAGAGAGACCTGCCTGTCTCTGCATGTGAAGACTACAAACAAACTGCTCCTTTAATGGCTGCTTTCACCTTACATGAAGATGAAATGGAAGTGTAACTTGCCAAGGTGCACGTATGTAGAAAGCATGGGAATGAAAAAGGGGGGAAGGTCCTCCTACCTCACTACTGGCAATAGCAGGGATAAAAAATGGGAAGGATCCTTTCCATGTATTAGGCTGTTCTTCTCTTGTTCAGAGGATTAGTGAGACTAAAAAGATGATGAAATCTTCTACTGAAGGCAAATGCAAAACTCCTACTCACTTCTAAAGGGCCAGGATCTCCCCCTTTTAAAGAAATTAATTATGAGCTGCAAATCCAATTAAAAATAGGAACATCATGGAGTTGTGCCACACTTTTTTTCTAATTTCTCAAATTAAAAACCACATTCAAAACTTGTGCCTGCAAGCCACTTCCAGGAAGGAGGCTCTGCTCCCTAAGTCACCTTTATTTAACACAAGGATCTATGCAGTCCTTAAACAAATCCATAAACCCACATTTATACAAATACACTCAGTGGAGGATCCAGTCCTCATACAAAAGAAGCCAATACCTAGGAACATGTTAAATACTCAGTTCTTTCAGTTCAGAACTTACTCCACACCATGGGGCTGGCTCAGATTCCACACACCCATAAATGTACCTGGGAAGCAGTGCAGATATATTCAAGGAGTGAATTATGCAATTTCCCTAGATGAGCTGTGTTTAAAAAAATGTGTCATTTGCTTAGGGAAAATCTGTAAGCAACATAGAAATACTGGCTTTTCAGCTGTTTCTACTTTTTCCTTTGGGACTAAGATACACTACCCAGTGATTCCAAGCTTATTGACTTGTGGTTTCCATGGGCAGTGCAGCACAGTGCAGGAGAGCTGCAGTGAGACAGTGGGTGCACAGGACCCAACACCCACACTGTGTGCATTGGAAGGGTGTTATTTCTGGCTGGCCACAGCCTCGTCCTGTGGCTGGAGCCAGGCCGTAGGTGAAGTGTGCCAGCTGTGCACTCACACAGCAGCTCCTGGGACAGGAAAAAATCCCCATGTCTACACTCTGGCCAGGCTGAACCAAAGTTCATCTCAAAAGAGGTCACTTGATCACCAGGAAACACATCAGACACATCTGAGTTGCCTTGTGAGGATCCTGGAGAAGCAGCCTGCACATGCCTGCTTGTGCACAGAGCCTTGTCCTGAAACCTACTGGTCTGGAAGGGCTGTATTACCAAAACAGTGCCACAGAAATGCTATTAGCCCTTCAGATATACTTTAGGGTTTCAGTCCATCATGACTGCACACTTCTGTGAAGCAGCCTCTCTTCACTGTGGTGTGTCCTTTGGTCCATACCTCATTTTAACCTTTTCATGTTCCTAGAGCAAATTTTATACCCTGAGACTTGGATGCTTGGGGGAGTAGGCTCTCTGTTCCACTTGTGTTTATGGCACCTCACCCAACCGAGCTCTTCTTCTAAAGTACACCCAAAGCACATTTCAGTACAGTCTGGCCCTCCATCCTCTATTTCATCCAGCCTGGTCCAATCTGGTAACTGGAGGACAGAGACCTTTGAAAATTTATGGGAAACATGCAATACTGAAGCTATAATTTTAAGTTGTAACAAAAAAATCCATCAGACTTTGGCAGCCCTAAAATCGGGTCACTATTCTTTTTGTGACTAAGATGAATGCAAGACTAAATATTAGGCATCTAGTTGCAAAAATAAACATGATTGGTACAGATTTCTCTTGCAAGCCAAAAATTTATCATTTGAAATTATGAAAAGCCAAGCACACAATCTCATTTGCACTCCTGTGGCAAACACACACTAGGTTTCCAGCAAAACATGATGGATATAGCTGAGTTGGTTCTGTAAAGACCACCACACTGGTCTTTGGAACTTCTCCCTCCATTTTCCAGCCTCAGGAATTCTTGGTGAGTTTTGTCTCATGCAGCTTTAGATATTGAAAGCCATAATCTGACACTGCCACCTATGGCATTCTTTTTCAAGTTAATAGGGAGGCAAAGGCAAGGCTGGACTGTGACACATCATACCCAGGCAGACTGGAATTGGAGGTGCATTTCTCTACTTTGATGGTGCAGTGGGCCAGATAAGCAGCTCAGCTGCACACACCTGTATCTTTGCTCTCCGGGCACAAACCAGAGAACATCAGGTTTTTGCTCCAATACATATTTAAATTGTAAACCCTGTACAAACCTTCACAACAAATATT